GGGGAGTATATACATTGATGGGGAGTATATACATTGATGGGGGAGTATATACATTGATGGGGAGTATATACATTGATGGGGAGTATATACATTGATGGGGGAGTATATACATTGATGGGGAGCATATCCATTGATGGGGAGTATATACATTGATACGGAGTATATACATTGATATGGAGTATATACATTGATGGGGAGTATATCCATTGATACGGAGTATATACATTGATGGGGAGTATATACATTGATGCGGAGCACATAGCGTCATGAATAAAGTATACGATTGGTCCATCATATAAATAATGAGGGGCGGAGTCTGGTGGGAACATCCTAATACATTGTACAATAACTGATATAGTATGTCTATGGCGTCTGGAATGGCGGCAGGGAGCGCCCAGAACCCCGGTGCTGGCACTCTACATCCCTCGCAGGGTTAAGGATCCAGAGAGAGGCAGGAAGTTTTGGGAGGGGGATGGAAGACTTTCACCTCTCCCTCTCTCCTCCTCCCCCCCTTGGAGGATGCTGGCTGGAGGGGGCTGTCCGAGGAGAGTCTGCCTGTGTGGGATCTACAGATAGGACGCTCTGGAGCTGGTAGAGGGAGACCACGGCTGGCCTGGGTACCAGAGACTGGATGCTGGGTATCCCGGGTGAATCTGGACATGCATTGCGGGTGAATCTGGACGGGCATTGCGGGTGAATCTGGACGGGCATTGCGGGTGAATCTGGACGCTGGGCTGGTTGGACGGGTTTTGTGGTGAACGTTTCCTGGAATTGGCGTGGAGGACTAAGCGCGGATTCATCAGGTTTCACGGATTTGGGGTGACACATGAGATGACACATGTGGGAACGTTTATCTCGGTATTGTGGAATTGTCGGCACCACAAGTGGTTTACCATCTACAAGATTCGCGCGCCCACTTCAGAAAGTTTGGGGGATCTCCGCAGCATCTGTGTGACGTGACCGGCGGGGGCCAGGAGCCAGCCAAGACATAGACTTCTTGTGGACTCCGGGGGTCATTGAGCTCCAGGATTTTCCAGAGGACACACGGCTGCAGGAGGCCACCATATCTCAGCTGGTATCTGGGAGTTGTGGAACCCCGGCTGGAGACGGGTTCGGGGCCCTTGTGAAGACGGACTCTCGGGGTCATTGGCGACGTTGGTTGGGATGTCCTAGTCGGGTCACAATCTGTCCTTTGGAATCTTCCATAATTATAGATTTTCCATTTACTTGACTGACCACGTGGATGACCATGGCCAAGTCATTGTGGTGTCTGTGCAGCTACGTATTGTGTCTGAGTCTCGGGGGAAGCTACGCCACAAACTACCCACCTCGATACAACCTATACACAGGAGGAACTGCCCCCCAGGGACAAGTGATGACAGCACAAGGGGTAACACAAGCACAGAACGGCCTACGGGCTGCCAGTCGGCACAGGTAGGTGGCACAATGTACCTACCTCACACTGGCTTGTAGGTCAATCTCTGGTGGTGGCTTTTGGTTGGGGACATATGGAGAGAAGATCAGAGTCCCCCAAAGCCTGAAACACCAAAAACACATCTGTAGAAAGTGACCCAAAATTTCATAAATCACGGTGGGGGGTGGGGGAGGGGGTGTTGTCTTTATAGAATGTGAGATATGTGAAGGAAATTCTTCTCCATCCATGAAGACCTTTTCCTAATCCAATATACCTGGAAAATGTCCTTAGGGTTAGGGACCTCCTATAATGTCCTCCGTATCTGAGGAGATGTACCTTCTATAATGTCCTCCGTATCTGAGTAGATACACCTCCTATAATGTCCTCCATACCTGAGGAGATACACCTCCTATAATGTCCTCCATACCTGAGGAGATATACCTTCTATAATGTCCTCCATACCTGAGGAGATATACCTCCTATAATGTCCTCCATACCTGAGGAGATACACCTCCTATAATGTCCTCCGTATCTGAGGAGATATACCTTCTATAATGTCCTCCATACCTGAGGAGATACACCTTCCATAATGTCCTCCGTATCTGAGGAGATATACCTCCTATAATGTCCTCCGTATCTGAGGAGATATTCCTTCTATAATGTCCTCCGTATCTGAGGAGATACACCTCCTATAATGTCCTCCATACCTGAGGAGATACACCTCCTATAATGTCCTGCAGATCTGAGGAGATATACCTTCTATAATGTCCTTTGTATCTCAGGAGATATACCTCCTATAATGTCCTCCGTATCTTAGGAGATATACCTCCTATAATGTCCTCCATACCTGAGGAGATACACCTCCTATAATGTCCTCCGTATCTGAGGAGATATACCTCCTATTATGTCCTCCGTATCTGAGGAGATACACCTCCTATAATGTCCTCCGTATCTTAGGAGATATACCTCCTATAATGTCCTCCATATCTGAGGAGATACACCTCCTATAATGTCCTCCATATCTGAGGAGATACACCTCCTATAATGTCCTCCATATCTGAGGAGATACACCTCCTATAATGTCCTCCGTATCTGAGGATATATACCTTCTATAATGTCCTCGGTATCTGAGGAGATATACCTTCTATAATGTCCTTCATACCTGAGGAGATACACCTCCTATAATGTCCTCCATACCTGAGGAGATACACCTTCTATAATGTCCTCCGTATCTGAGGAGATACACCTCCTATAATGTCCTTTGTATCTGAGGAGCTATACCTCCTATAATGTCCTCCATATCTGAGGAGATACACCTCCTATAATGTCCTCCATACCTGAGGAGATATACCTCCTATAATGTCCTCCATACCTGAGGAGATACACCTCCTATAATGTCCTCCGTATCTGAGGAGATATACCTCCTATAATGTCCTCCATACCTGAGTAGATATACCTTCTATAATGTCCTCCATACCTGAGGAGATATACCTTCTATAATGTCTTCCATACCTGAGGAGATATACCTTCTATATGCCTCTATATGTCGTCTTACACTTTATGTCTCCTGATTGGTGGGAGGAGCCGAGTGTCTGAAATTAGAACTGTATGTCACCTTATAGTAGCCAGTCAGCGTCGCTCTGATTGTAGGGAGCGGCCATGTTGGTCGGAGGGAAATGGCCGGACCTTATGTATCAAAGTGCCTGAAATAAGAACTGTCTGTAAGGTCTCAGCAGCCAATCACTTCTCATTGGTGATCCTGTTACCCCAAAAACATCTCCTCCTCATGCTCTCCAATAGTTGGTGTTATTTCCTGGGTGATGTCATGTGTTGGCCCATTGCAGCCCCCCACATGTCACAAGGGGCCCCCCCACACCTCCAATGTGTCCTTTCATCTTCCATGGATCCCCTCATTAGTGTCAGTGAAAGGTCATGTGACCTTTGGATCAGCGGGGGACGGCCATAATAATGAGCTCAGCGCTGTGTATGGGCCGATGACATGACCACAGCATTGGACTCTTGTTGTATTGGGAATCATTTGTGGGAATACTTAGCGCTGCTCATTATACACATGGGGAGAGCTCAGAGGATTCCTGCTAAAGGGAGAAGTTTCATAGGATATTGCACAGCGAGCTGCAGACCAATGGTGCCATCTTGTGGCTGAATATCATACTGCAGCTGCATCCTTCCAGTCCCTATCACTGGGGGTGCTCTGCGTGTAGATCATGTCAGGGTCATACTGGAAGCGTGTCGGCAGAAACATCTTCCTATCAGGATTATCCAGCTGAAGATTCTGAGCTTTATCTGTGCATAGAAGAGGCACTGAGCACTGATCCCCTGTGCAGCACTGATATCTCCATTCCTGCATATTATACACAGAGAGTCACTAGTTACATAGTTACATAGATACATAGTTACATAGATACATAGTTACATAGTGTTACATAGATACATAGTTACATAGTGTTACATAGATACATAGTTACATAGTGTTACATAGATACATAGATACATGGTTACATGGTTACATGGTTACATGGTTACATGGATACATGGTTACATGGTTACATGGTTACATGGTTACATGGATACATGGTTACATGGTTACATGGTTACATGGTTACATGGATACATGGTTACATGGTTACATGGTTACATGGTTACATGGATACATGGTTACATGGTTACATGGTTACATGGTTACATAGTTACAGTCATGATGTCACCTCAGTCATGATGTCACCTCAGTCATATAATAATCCTCTTCTGTCTCCTCCAGGAATTGGTGTGCGTACATTGTGACCCGGACTGTCACCTGCATGGTAGAAGATGGTGTGGAGACGTATGTGAAGCCGGAGTACCAGCCGTGTGTGTGGGGGCAACTACAGTGTGCTCGCACCGTCATGTGAGTAGCAGACTCTAGAGTGCAAGCTCTGGGGGTCAGGAATCTACGTTCTATTTGTTGTCCCTCATTTGTGAGGATGTTACAGGCGGGATTAAGGATCCTATATTGGTAAAAAGGAATTTCTTCCACGAGTTCTCCATATCTCTAATTTCCTCTTACAGAGA